GTAGAATCGGTGGGCGTGGCTAAACAGGCAGTGCTGTAGAATCGGTGGGAGGGTCTAAACAGGCAGTGATGTAGAATCGGTGGGAGGGGCTAAACAGGCAGTGCTGTATAAGCAGGCATTGATCTTCTGCGGAGGCGGAGTTTAGGCAGATTGACTTCAGTATAAGCTGTTTTTAGACTAACGAGAACGTTTTGAGTTCTGAAACTTACAGGATGATTTTATACTACAATGACCTCTTATATGTCAAGAGATCAAGGGCATTTTGATTTCTCAGTTCATGACCCCTTTAAATTATTATTATTTTATGATATATTTATTGTTATTGTTACTAATCGTAAAGCATAACACTGAAAATCTGGTACAACTATGCATCAACCCATGACAGTTCTCTTTCTTTGCCATCACTGTTGTGTTCAAAATGTAAATGTTCAATGCAAAAATGTATATAAATGGCCTTAGCTAGCAAATATCATCGCACAACACCACATTATGTATAGTTAGTTATTATGCTTTGTGAAAACAAATTTTTGTTCTGTAAAAAAATGAATATGAATTTGTGTGTGTGTTCTTTCAGTTGAGCTTGAAGAAGCTGTGTAAACACAATGAAATACTGAAAAACATTGTAAGAGAAACTTCTTCATATGGCTCTACTGTGGGCGGTCTTATGTAGCATAAACGCTTTTTCCAGGCCTCTGTTATGACTTATTTATCTCATCTGAGTGTACTCATCATTGAGCATGTTGAACAATGTTCAAAATAAAATTCTTTTTCAATATGCCATTCAATGTTGAGTAATATCAATATATATACATATGCAATATGTAATAGCATGTGCTATTAATTTCCTTAGGAATAAATACTTTTAACTGTGGAAAATGTAACTGAGTGTACCTTTAATTTTACATAACTGCCTTTTATTGACAAGAGAGGCAATGGCAGAGATAACCAGGAGCATGAGAACAGGGAGGGTGATTAATCTGGACTAGATATACTGACAGGCAAAGAAGAGAAAAGAACAGGACTAGACAAATGATCCACATCTGTAGAGAAATTCATCTTGCAGACAAGAATTCTAATCAACTACAGAAATAACACTAGACTAGATCAACTCGATTCTCTTAATTCTTACTACTCTTCTATGAGCTTTATGCATGGTGTAAACACGTACTTCAGAGAGGTAGGTGGCGGTGGTGTGTGGGGAGCGCCGGACAGTAGGCTTCCGGATCACGGAGAATTGTGGGGGCGCACGGTCGATGGCGGAAGCTTCAGCGAGAAGTCGGAAAGGAACGGCGGTGAGGCACAACTGCTCCGCGAATGGAACAGAGAGGTTTGAGTGGGGGGATAGTGAAGGGAGTATGGATGTAGGAAGTGAAGAGGAAAGTGAAAAATCTTTAGGAAATTGCTGGAAAGAAGTAGGGAGTAATCGGGGAGAAAAACGGAAGAAAAGGAGTGACGTAGAAGAGTCTGATGAAAAGAGTGGAGAAAGTATAAAATGCATCGTAAGGTTTGGAGATCAGATTGGGGTAAGCAAAATTAATCCGTTAAAACTGACAAAGATCATAAATAGAGATATAGGAAATATCGATTTCGCTAAAGTTCTCTCTGATGGGAATTTGCTAGTTGGATGTAATAAACAAGAACAAGCAAATAAAACTCTCAAACTTAAGGAGATAGGAGGGATTAAAGTTGTCAGCACAAACAGAGTTGGAGATAAAAGTAAAAGTAGGCGGTAATACTAGAAGTAGCATCAGAATCAATTCCAAAAAGTAAAGGAAAAATGACAAGAAAAGCGGTTCCTTGGTGGACAGACAAGTGTAGTAAAGCTGTAAGAGATAGAAACAAGGCTTTTAAACTTCTTAAGAGAACGTATAATTATAATCATCTAGTTTTATTCAAGAAAGCTCAAGCAGTTGTGAGGAGAACTATAAGGCAAGCTAAAAGAGAAAGCTGGCGTGGTTTCTGTAGTGGAATTGGAAGAACAACTCCAGTAGGTGATGTATGGAATATGATCAAGAGAATGAATGGTAATAAGAAAGAGTGGGAATATCCAGTATTAGAATCAGAAGGAGAAATAGCTGTAACGGATAAGGGCAAAGCAGAAATGCTAGTAAAAACATTTGCACAAATACACGGGTCAGGGAACTTAGGTGAGGAAGGAAAGAGGAGGAGAGAAATAACAAAGAGACAAAATATAGAAGCATTGGTAAGGAGTGGGGGAATAGAGGACCAGCCAATTAATTTCCCTTTCAACAGAGATGAATTGAAGAGAGCTATTTGTAATGCTAATAAAAAACATTCATCTCCAGGAAAGGATCAGATCGGATATATAATGATAAGACATCTTAAAGATAAATAGAATTTAAAACTCTGTTTCACACTCCGGAGCAGAAGGTGGCGGTAATGCACCTATTTGCGTTGGTGCCAGCCGCCGTTAAAAACCAAGAAGAAGAAGAAGAAGAGAAGGAGTAGGTGGCGGTGTTTGCACCATTCGAGTGAGTCGCAACCAACACATTTCAGAAGAAGAAATTCGGGGTTCTTGTCGATTTCTACAAATTGGACAAGGAGCACTCCTTGACGCACGCTTGGGTAATTATTAAAACTATTTGTATTATATATATTTTTTTTATGTAAGTGCAATTCCAGAATGTCATTTTATGCTCCTTTTATTTATTTTTTGTTATAGGTGTAAAGTTATGAAATATTCAAAAGTGCCAAAGTTAAGTTAATCAAGCCGTCTGGCGGAGTTATTGATCCGCGTGCGACACGCTTCACGCTCGTGTTTACGTCAGAGCCTCGCGACAAATGTTACCGTGCTGAAGATACAGTGTAGCGTTTAAAGATGCTTTTGACAAACGTCAGGTGCAGCTATGGGTTAGCAGTGGGGCTAACTGTAGCCAGGGTGGTGTTTATTAATGTAAACCACTCGAATGCAAGACAGACGCCAGACGTGTTTTATGTTAAGATGTAATTTTATTAAAACAATTGATAGTATTGCCTCGTATAGCCACCACGTTTACACCAGAACTTAAAAACATTCTTCAAATATTTCCAAGCTCGGTTGGGCCATAAGTTTGCGAGCAGGAGATCCTGTCAACTTAAAGTTCAGAATATGCAAACTTTTTTTTTTTAATGCATGAATTCAGTTTGAGATGGGACTGTGCGATTAGCACTTCTTGTCTGATAGATTTACTAATTTACAACAGTTTGAAAGCTGCACTATATTTAGATATGCCATTAAAACTTGTGACATTACAGTGTGATGGACTGTGACATCAATTAGCTTATTTGGCCATTTTAATTTGATCAACATTGACTAATAACCAGTGTACCTCCACCAGACCTGTGAATAGATGATAATAAATAACCATTAACAGTAGGGGAAGTTACAGTTAAAGCCCAGGACCAGGTATGATGAATGACGACCAGGAGTCAATTGAAGAAAAATTCACTGAAGAAAATAGTTTGCTGTTTCGCGAGGAGTTCGTAGGCCGCTCTGCCTTACATTTTCAATACAACAGCAGTTATACTCTAACCGAAGGTTACTAACTACGTCATTATTAGGGAAAGAGGATTCTGATTGGCTCAAATAGCAGAAAACAAGTAAAATCTTAACAGATGTACATAAAGTTAAAAGCATATACCAACACGCATACATAGAGAAACCTTAATCTACTTCAAGGCTGAGTAGCTAATAACAAGGTTGAGTAGATGGTTAATAATGAATTTATTAAGCTACATTAAAATGCAATTTATACATAGAGCAAATACACCTCTCATATGCATGAACATGATTCTAATCTCTGAATTAAAATTAATTTCATTGTGTGTTTTTTATGCCAGGGTGACACAACTGTCCTGATATCATGATGCTGAAAAAATTCTCATTAAGAGAATGAAATTCTTGAAAGCCGTAAGAAGTTTGGCGTTACACATGTCCACCAAAACATGAAGAAATATGCAGAAAGAAATAAAAATGAAAGTATATCATAGAGTTGACCCCTGCAGTTAAAAAGAGGAACACTTAAGCATACTTTTAAAGATGCTTAATACGGAAATGATATACCTTCAAAGAATATACGTATTTGCATTTAAATGTTAAAAATTACTTTAGTTCGCATGTTAAATGCAGTTAATGAAGCAATGCATTATAATTTACATTTTGCTGTCAGCTTAACTTTAGAGTGCTTTTTTGAGTAACTTAAGTAGGACTTAAGTACATCTTTATATGTGATTATTCATAATTATTTCTATTGTCTTTGAAATATGTTAAAGTGCACTGCCGAATATACTGACAAGCATTTATGGTAAACTAAAATATACTTCATTGTCATTTCTATTGAAACTCATACGTTTTTAAATAGTTTTATAATTACACATTTGAAATGATGCTGATATGCAAAATACGATGAGGCCATCGCAACTGGCCCACCTTTACAGGTACTTAGCCCTGCACCGCTGTAATTTAGTACATTTAAAATATTTTTTCTGTGTAAATCAATATCTTAAGTTCTTTCTCTTTCTTTTTCTTTCTTGTGGTTTGTTGTCATGTTGTCAAGAAAAAAACTCCACGTTATATAATAATATCGTCCATTTGTATTGTTGTGGTATAATGATTATTTAATTACCGTGTCAAAAAGTTGGCAGAAGACAATTTAAAAGTAGTTCTGCGCTTCAGACACATGAACATCAATCCTGTACAAATCTCTGGCCGTTTCATCTTCTCAGTTTATGAAAACAATCCTATTCCGTCTGCATCCATATTCAAACTTCATTGATTTCCCTTTTCTGTTGGACTGTGTGAAATCTCAGACTCTCTTTACTGTCTGTAAAGGTTGGCGATGGATGCGTTTGACGGTGGAGCCGGTGAAGACACGGGTGAAGCCGAGACTATTAGTGCGCAGAGCCTGTATGCCACGCTCGGCCTGTCATCCGAAGATGTGGATGCACTCGCGCAGATTCCCGAAAGCGAAATCAGTGTGGAGACCCTCCCTTATCTAATCATGCAGCTCAAAGCCAAGAGAGCCCTTAAAGAGTCAGCTACCGCAGACACCGACTACAGAGACAAGTCCAGGCTTTCACAGGACAAGCGGAGTACACCCGAGAGATGCACCAGCGACAGACGCAGAAGCCCCGAGTCTTCCAGCTCAGCGCGGCGCTCCGGGAGCCACGAGCATCACGGGAAAGGGGAGGGGCACAGGAAGTTTGAGAGGTACACGGGAGGAAGAAGAGACCCGGCTCACAGGAAGTCATCCCGAGAAAGACAAAGTGGGGATCATGTGGCTGTGGAGATGGAGTCAAGCGACAACCCGACCGTTTTCCCACACAAATGCCCTCTTTGCAAGTGTATGCTGAATTCCATAAAGGTAAAAAGATACGTGATGCATTGAGTGCCATGATAAGACAAAACTATTAAATTAGAACAAAAATGCCTAGAAATGATTAAAATATGTGACCCTGTCTTAAGTCGCTGGGGTATATTTGTAGCAATAGCCAACAATACATTGTATGGGTCAAAATTATCCATTTTTCTTTTATGCCAAAAATCATTAGGATATTAAGTAAAGATCATGTTCCATGAAGACATTTTGTAAAATTCTTATCGTGAATATATCAAAACGTAATTTTTGATTAGTAATATGCATTGCTAAGAACTTCATTTGGACAACTTTAAAGATGATTTAATATTTAGATTTTTTTGCACCCTCAGATTCCAGATTTTCAAATAGTTGTATCTCAGCCAAATATTGTGCTATCCTAACAAACCATACATCAATGGAAGCTTATTTATTCAGCTTTCAGATGATGCGTACATCTCAATTTTGAGAAATTGACCCTTATGACTGGTTTTGTGCTCCAGGGTCACATATTAGGGCTGATGTGACCAATGGTTCAAAAGATTTTACATTTATGGGAAAATATATCCATACTGGTTTACAGTGGGAAGTGAGGGAATGCAACAATAGCCAGATAGACTCGACAAGACACAGACAATGTGAAGTGGAGTTTCATTACCGTTCCCTCATAGATTTATTGAATATTAGGGCTGGGTTTTGACACAAATTTCACGATTCGATTCTCATTCACAAGCTTGCTATTCGATTCGATTATTTTGGAATATGTATATTGGATATTTCAAGACTTCAGACATGACTCATCCAATTATAATTTTAAGAAATATATTATACTCATACCGATTTTGGAGATTCTGTCCACCTCTGGTGGCTAGTATTTTATGCATGCATGTATTTATTTATTTTTTCTGGAGGAATGTGTTTATTATAATCTTTTATATATATCATAATCATCTTAAGTGCTTATGTTCTGTTTTCTTGACTGCCAGACATGGAGAGACCATCTTTCAGGTGTCCGACACAAATTACATGAATCCGAACGAAGCTCTCGCTCATTTCAACCCCCTAAAAGAGCCTACAGCTCTGAACCCGCCATAGGTAAAGAGTTTCAGTTCTAGAAGAATTGCGCATTGCATCTATATTTGATAATGCTGCTACTACAAAGATTCGTTTTTTTTTTTTTTTAAGAAAAAAAAATCATTGTCACATTTAGGGCTGCACGATTGTGACAAAAACCATTATTGCATTTTTTTTTTGCACAATTGCAATTATTGATTATGATTATCACAAGTTACATTGCATGATGTTTATACCAGTGTTTGAAGCAACTGCATGCCTTATTTTTAGATAAAAATAAACAAGCTGGAAACACTCTAACTGAAAAACTTGTATTGCTTTTCTATAGCATTAAGCTTCAAATCTGAACTATACACTGGATTGGTTTCTTCTTTAAATAAAAAAAAAAGTAAAAATATGCATGGTATTATAACGTTATGCTCAAATGAAAACAATGGAAAAACCCTTAAGATAACCTGTAGAAAGAAAAAAACACATCTTAAGCACGCAGAATAACATAAGTGGACTTTGAACGATTAACTGTGGCATCCGTAATTGTAATTGCGATTAGAAATTCGATTAATTGTGCAGCTCTAGTCACATTTCAAATTTAAAATGTAAAGACCTATTAGTTAATGCCTGTTAACTTTGAGACCATTTGCAAGCTAGTGTTCTCCTAAAAGTTTACAAATGCAGCAAATGATAGCAAATATACTTTTTTTCTTTTTCTGGAAATTGAACCACGTTTACATTTATTCATTTAGCAAACGCTTTTATCCAAAGTGACTTAGAAATGAGGAATGCAACAAGTGATTCATCCTAAAGTGATCGTTTAGAATAGTACAAGCTGGAACAGGGAGGGACTAAGGGAAAGTAAACGCATAGATATTTATTTTTATGTATTTATTTATTTAGATGCAGTTAAGTGCTCACAGAAGAGATGAACCAAAAATATCGATCTTGTAAATGCCTCTGCATAGGCTCATTTTTGTCCATTTAAACGCTCAATCAGACACAACATTAAAGCCAGGGCTCTGAACCGGTTCAATGAATGAAAACAAAAACTGGAAACGAACGAAATTTTGAAAGGAACATAACCAGAAACAAAATAGTTCCGAACAATTTGAAATGGCCATTAACTGGTTAATAACGTTATTTTTATCGTTCCGTTTAGTATTTTAATTTTGCACTCAACCAATCATGAATTGAAATAGTACACAGCCTATGCAAATGTGACACTGATGCATCTAACGAGTGAAATACCTGCGCTCGGCTGTAAATGCATCATAAAGTGCCCCGGCGTTAGAGTTTTTCCCAGGATATGTCACGAACCGTCAAGCATTAGGCCTACATTTAAGTGAAAATGAATGGCAGGGATATGCAGCTTGTTGAGTGTTTTGAAACCAGCGAACATTTCAGGATAGTGTGTCGAACTCTGGATTCACATCACGCACCTGCAGCACTTCTGTGAACGGAGAAAACAGTGTCTGAGCT